GTTCAGCCATCTCCCAATTGATAGGCATCCCCCCAATTTCCAATTCTTTGCCACCACAAAAAGAGCTGTTATACATATTTTTGTACATGTGGGTCCTTTACCCATTTTATGATCTTTTTGGGATACAGACCTAGAAGTGCTATTGCTAGGTCAAAGCGTAAGCCTGTACTTACTTAATACCAGAGTAAGGTTGTCAGGAAGTAACCGTGAGGTTTTTTAAAAGCATCAATTAAAAAAAATTGCTAAAAGCAAACCTGCCCAGAAACACCCAGAATGGCCCCCTGGTCCCCTGATGGTTAGGTTAGGTTCTTGGTTAGGCTAAAATGAAGGCTGATTTAAGTCCTGTCCCCATTGGCTCATCTTCCCAAATCATCTTCCTCTCAATCATTTCCTTGACCTTCTCTGGCTGATCTTTCTCCTTCTAGGTTAGGAAAGTGCAAGTCAGAGGCTCCTTCAGAGGTGACCTAAAGCTAGAGATATGGACCACATGCACTTTACAACCAACCAATCAACAAATCTCTAACCAGCCTCTGCTTGGCTGGCTGCTCTATGCCAGACACTGTGCTAGGCACAGGGATGCAAAGACAAAAAGACCAACAATTCCTACCATCAAGGAGCTTACATTCTACTGGGAAGCTATGACAGGTTCACAAGCAAGTAAATAACTATTTCCACTTGGATCTCTTTGGAGAAGCTCAACACTGTGTAGTCACATTTTTTTTCTAATCACAGGTAGCACTGATATAACACTTTAAAGTTTACAAAGCCTTTAGTGGAATTATAAACTGATATAACCATTGCAGAGAGCAATTCGGAATTACACTCAAAGGGCTATAATACTGTGCATACCCTTTGATCCAGTAATACCGCTACCAAAGAAACCTTAAAAGAGGGGGAGGAAAAGAAGGACCTATTTGTACAAAAATATTTATGGCGGCTCTTTTTTGTGGTGGAAAAGAATTGGAAATTGAGGGGATGCCCATCAACTGGAGAGTGGCTGAACAAGTCGTAGTGTACCAATTATTGTGCTGTAAGACGCTGACAAGCAGTAAGATTTCAGAAAAACCTGGAAAGACTCACATGAGCTGAAAGAAAGTGAAGTGAGCAGAACCAGGAGAACACTGTACACAGTAACCGCAACATTGTACAGTGATCAACTGGGAATGACTTAGCTCTTCTCAGCAATACAATGATCCAAGACAATTCCATAGGACCCATGATGAAAAATGCTGTCCACCTCCAGAGAAGGAACTGTGGAATCTGAATGCAGAATGAACCATGCTATTTTTCACTTTCTTTGTGTTTTGCATGTTTTTTTTCCTTCTTGGTCCATGTTTTCTTTCACAACATGACTAATGTGGAAATGTTTTGTGTGACTGCACACGTATAACCTATATCAAATTGCTTACCATCTCAGGGAGGGAGGGAGAGAATTTGGAACTCAATTTTTTTAAATAAATGTTTAAAATTGTCTTACAGGTAATTGGGAAAAAATAAAAGATTTTTTAAAAGTTTACAAAGCCCTTTAACAATATTTTCTCTCTGATCCTCACAACAACCTTGGGAGGTAGGTGCTATTATGATCCCCATTTTACAGATGAAGAAATTGAAGTAGAGACTTGCCCATGGTTACACAACTGGTTCCACCACTTAGCACAATACCTGGCATATAGGAGGTGATTAGTAAATGTTTACTGATTGAAGTATCTGGGGCTGGACTTAAACTCGGGCCTCCTCAACTTCTTGCTCAGTACTCTGTGCACTGTGGCATCCCCTAGTTTTCTTTCAGGAGGTTATTGCAATAATGTTCAAAGATGATGACTCCAGGACAACTGTGTGAGGGGTGAAAAGGTAATGAATGTGAGGGATGTTGTGGGAGCAGAAAAAACTAGATTTGGCAGCTAATTAGGTGTGGACATTGGGAGAGTGGCAGTCAAGTTGAGGAAGATTCTGGCTGGGATGATTGGGGGGGATGGTAGTGCCCTGAAGGAGGAGAGGTATGGGGGAAAAGAGAAGTTGTTCCAGTTCAGATACATTGAGTTTGAGATGCTGATAGGATATCCAGTTCAAGAGATCTAGTAGGCCATTGGAGGTGGGAGGCTGGGGGTCAGCTAAAAGGATAGGGCTGGATAAGTAGATCTGAGAATCATGGGCATAGGGATAATCATGGAATCCACAGGAATCAATGAACTCCCTAAGACAGAGTAGAAAGAAAGAAAAAAAGAGGGCCCAGAACAGAACCTTAGAGGACTCCCATACACAGGGATTGGGATATGACCCAGCAAAGAAAACTTGGGAGAAGGAGAACCAAGAAAGCACTGTCATGATGGCTTAGAGGACACTGTGTCCAGGAAAGAGCAATGGCCAATAGGGTCAATGCTACTGAGCTTCCTAGAAGTGGGAGAGTTAAGAAAAGGTCTTTGGAGTTTGCAATAAAGAGACCAATCATTGATAACTTTAAAGGGATCAATTTTATGGAGTGGTGGGAGTAGAGGCCAGATTGCAAGGCACTGACAAAGTATTGACCAAGGGTGTAGACAGCTTTTTCTGAGTTTGGCTGTGAAAGTGAGGAGAGAGACAGAACTATAGCTTGAAGGGTTGGTTCCATTTTTTTTCTTTTAAAGTTGGAGGAGACCTAGGCATGTTTGTAGGTAACAGGTAAGAAGCCGGTGAATTGAAATTAACTTAGAATGTGAGAAGGAACTCTTCCAAAGAAGAACAGGGATAAATGATGCCACCGGGGAATTTAATGAAAAAAAGAATTGGGTTGGTCATGTAACAAAGGCAAGAGATGACAGGGGGCCAGCCAGGGCATTCTCTTGGCACTCTAGTCATATATGAGAGCCAGCAAGGAAGGTCTCCCCTCAGGGAAACCCTTGGGAGTACAGAAATGAGAGTGACACAGGATGGTCAGGCAGGGGGCCTTTTAATCTGCATTACTGTAGAAACCCCCTGAATCAATAATCTCACAGACCTCTCAGAAGTGGTATTCAGGGAGAAGGAAGGAAGAGACACTAAAAAGGACAGGCTCCTGAAGGAGATGGGATGGGATGGGATCATGGGCACAAAGAGAGGGGCTCCTTTGGGTGAGGAGGAGGACTCCTGAAGGCTCTGAGACTGGAACCCATGAGGTGAGGAGGGAAGAAAATGCCCAGGTGACTGGAAGAGGACCATCAGGGAGGTAAAAGAGCTCTCCTGCCCAGGGTCCCCTCTGTCTCCTCCCCTCCAACCCCTCTACTTCCAGCATTGTACTTTGGTGGCAGAGGACAAGCATTGGCTGACTCCTGAATCTACCTATGTTCTCTTACTATGGCAGGGTGGTGACCCCAGGCTCTTGTAGGCCAAGCTAGTGGAGTGTGGGTTCTAGCAAGGAAGGAAGGACCTACTGGGACAATATTTCATTCAGGAACAGCTCGGCTAAGTTTGAAGGACAAAACCAGGTTACCCAAAGTCCTCAGCATTGCTGTTTCCCCAGGTGAGGAAGGGCTGTGATCTAGGCTGGGGACAGAGAGAGTGCCTTCACCCACCAGATTAACTATTGACATAAGATCATGGTCTTTGTTGCATGACCTTGGGCCCTCCTTTTCTTCTCTGTGGGAGAGAACTGTCTGGGCCCTTCTCTCCACAGACAAACAGGCAAAATGCTCAGAGCCTCTGGAGGAGGCTCTGCAGGAGCTGGGACCTCTGCTTTGCCCTCTCGCCCTGCTCCAGATTGGGCAGGGACAGCAGAGGTCCTGAGAGCCGGGGATTCTCCTTTTCCAATGGCCGGGAAGGACCATGCCCACCCCTGTTCACCAGAACTGCACCAAGACTTCCTTCCCTGGGTTATAAAGATCAAGGCTGGAGAAGACACCCCTCTGTTCCCCAGCTCTCCTGCTGGACTCTGAGTCCAGGGGCTAGGGACCCTGAGGATACCCAGTCCCACCGCTCCCTAAGTCTGTGCCAGGCAGCTAGGAGGACTTTTCTTTTTTTTCTTTCTTTTTTTTTCCCCTTTATAATTCTTTCTTTTTTTTTTTTAATTTAATTTAATTTAATTTAATTTTTTAAATTTTTTTTTCTATATGCTTTTGAGTTGAAAATTTTTTCTCCCTTTTTCTCCCCCCCCACCCTCCCCAAGACGGCGCACAATCTGACATAGGCTTTACATTTACATACCCATTAAACATATTTTCACATTAATGAAGTTATAAGTAAAAAGTAAAACCAATAAGAGGAACCATCAGAAAGATGAAACAAAATTCAACTTAAGGTAAAAATAAGTGAGAGCGATTCGACTTCCATAGTTCTTTCTTTGGATGTGGACAGAATTTTCCATCCTGAGGCCCCTGGAGATGTCTTAGGTCCTCGTAATGCCGAGAAGGGTTCAGTTTAACATTCTTAGTCATTGCATAACGTGGCTGCTATTGTATACAAAGTCCTCTGGGTTCTGCTCACTTCACTCAGCATCAGACCATATAAGTCTCAGGAGGACTTTTCTAATCCTATTGGTTCCTCCCTGGTAAGCTTTCAGCTGGGGCTAGGCGGAGGCAGGGCTGCCCAGGGGTCCTCTGTCTGCTGGAGCCCTGGGGCCCTGCAGTCGGGGTGCATACTCTGTCTATACTATGGAGTCCCCGCTGGCTGAGTGGATGGGTAGCCGCCAGTGAAGGTTCTCTGGGCCCAGGCTCAGTGGCCCCAGGACAGGGTCAGGGCCTTGGCTGAGCCGCCGCTGCCAAGGGTGCCCCGGGGCCAGGCCGAGGAGGATGCTCAGCGCGTTCTCTCCGTCCCGGCCCCTCCTCCCGGGCTTGGAGAGCTCCCGGGCGGGGCAGGGGTAGAAAAGCAGGAGCAGGGAGAGGAGGGGCGTTCAGGGGAGGGAGGAGGAGGCAGGGGGAGGGTGGAAATTGGCACTGATTGGCTGACTCCGCTGCCAGTCGCCGCCGCGGTCCCAGCCGCTTCCGCCGGCTTGTGAGCTCTCTCGTTCCCCCCTCCCTTTTCTTCTCCTCCCCCCTCCCTCATTCCCTCCTTCCTCGCTCTCTTCTCTCTCTCTCCCTTGCTCGCTCACGCTCCCTCCGCTCCGCGCTCGGGGAGCTGCTGCTGGGCCGGAGAACAAGGAGCGCGCGCGGGCGGGCGGGCGGGCGGCCCGAGGCTCCTGGGTCTGGTCCTTGCGGGCGTCCGCCAGGGACCATGCAGCTGCGGGAGCATCACCACCAGCAGAAGCAGCAGCAGCAGCAGCAGCACCAGCAGCACCAGCAGCAGCAACAGCAGCAGCAGGCACAGCAGAGGCGGGGGCTCCTCGGCGCCTAGGCGGCCCCAGCCGCGCTCTCTCCCGGAGAAGGAGCCTTGGTCACTGGGGCTGGCCACCGGGCGGCCGTCCAGCAGAGCTTCGCCGGCCAGAGCTTCCGTGAAGGAAGGAAAAGGAAGAGGAAGCGGAGGAGAAGGACGGCGAGCGGAGGAGCAGTCAGGTAGCAGCCCCAGCAGCAGCCCAGGCCCCAGCTCCAGCCCTTGCGGCAGCGGCCGAGCGCGCTGCCCGTCCGGGAGGGACGGCCAAGCGGGCTCACCAGGCGGAGAAGCCGGGCGCCCCCCGCCCCGCAGACGGGTCCCCACCACCGCCCTCGTCCCAGCCCTCGCCCCGCAGCCTTGCCGGCCAGCGATGACATCAACAGGGAAAGAAGGCAGCGGGGCGCAGCACGCGCAGTATGTGGGACCCTACCGCCTGGAGAAGACGTTGGGCAAAGGACAGACAGGTGCGTGGGGCCGGCAGAGAGATGCATGGCTGAAGGGATGAAGGGACACACTGATGGGGGGGGGGGGCGGCTGTGCGGCCTGCCTGCGGGGCGGGGGCAGGGGACTGAAGCCGAGACTACCGGACCGCTGGGCGTGAGCGGGCCTGGCCGGGACGCCGCCGCAGAGGGAATGCGGGCAGGCGGGAGGGGCAGGCTGCTGGCGCGGGGGCCTGCGTTCCCCGGAGCCCCTCTGCATCCCCGGGAGCGGCGCAGCTTGGCGCGGGAGGGGGTAGGGGAGGATCCAGGCGGTGGCGGCGGTGGCGGCGGTGGCGGCGGTGGCGGCGGTGGTGGCGGTGGCGGCAGCCCGTCTGTCATGACATCATGATGGAGAAGGGTGTAGTCCGCCGCGATACCGGGTAGCCAGTGGGATGCGGACCGATGTACTGGCAGACGGGCGGGCGGGCCCAGAGGCGGGGGCGGACGAGGTCCAGGCCTGCCCCCTCCCCCCAGCTCCGATCCCCAGCCCCGGCCCTGGAGGCGCAGAGGCCGGGCTGCGGCACAGCGACGTTTCCGCAGGCTTCCCCATCTCCCGCGCCTCCCCCCCCCATCTCCTCTCCTCCTCCTTCAGGTTCCCTCTTCTACCCTTCTCCAGAGGGTGGGTGGGCGTGCAGGCAAGCAGGCAAGCAGGCGGCCGGCCTTGCGGCAGGAGGAACAATAGTCTGGAGGGAGAGAGCGAGCGGGCACGTCCGTCTGTTTGTCCATCCGTCGCGCTGCACAGGGTTAGCCTGGCATGGCGGGGGGCGGGGGAGGGGAACAGGCTGCGGGCAGTTGGGGCGCGGCCGGGCCCAGGGCCCCGAGGGAGGGCAGGCCGGCACTGCGTGGCACCCCACCCGCGAACGGAGCACGGACGGATGCGTTCGGGCGCCCGTCCTAGCACCACTGGGACAGGTGCAAACCTTAGCCGACCGGTCGGCTGGGCAAGGGACGGGCCCACTGCTCCGGCCCAACAGGCCCCAGGCCCATTGTGCGGGATGGGGGGGGGGGGCAGCCGGGCCGGACTGGGCTGAGCCCCCATCTGCTGGAGGCAGCCTCGCTAATAGGCGTGCAGGCCACACAGCTGCGCCCCCTGGGCCCCCAGCGGCCTCCAGCACCTCCGCCCAAGCAGCCCTCCCCTCCCCTTGGCCAGCTGGGGTGCGACCTGAGCCTCTGGGACAAAGGTGAGGCTGCCTTCCTCGCCCTTCTGAGTGTTCCTGCTCTGGGGGTGCGCTTCCCTTAGCCCCAGCCCCGGCAGGTTGCCGCCACCGTCCCTGGGCCACGAGCTGCGGGCTCGAAGCCCTGCAGGAGACCCCTGCCTGGGGAACTCGGCTCCCCAGTTGCTGTGTTCCTGGGGTGCTTTCTGAGAGCTGCTAAGCCAGGGTCTGGCCTTTGTGTGCATGGGGAAGAGGGAGAAGGAGGGGCTGCAGGGCCCCCTTGGGGCACAATTAGGCTCCTGAGCAGGGTTGATGTGAGCCCCAGCCCCACCCTCAAACGGAGATGAGGGGGATGTTCCCGAGCTGCCAGCTCTTTAGCTGTGGGCTCTGAGGGGAACTGGCAGGATTCTACTCATTTCATCTACCATCTATACAGGGCCTACTGTGATTGGAGGTCGGCGCAGAGCCTGGGAGATCTTAAAGCAGTAAGCTCCTGGCCTGGGGGAGCTCTCAGTCTGGGCGGGGTCAAAGGAGGGACCTCAGGATCTCCAGACCACTGGCCCCCATTCCTGACCAGCACTCCAGAGAGGGGCAGGCAGGTGGGCCAGAGGGAAGAAAAGGGATCTCTGCACCGACAGAGAGTCCCTGAAGGGATGTGGGCCAGGTCCAGCCCCAGGCCCCAAGGGCATCTGTCCTGGCTCTTCGTGCTCAGACCACTCACCTGCCCCAGGCTCACGGGCCTGCTCAGATGCCCCTTCCTTGGTGGTTTCTGACTCAGCCATTTTGTTTCTTAAGGTGAAAACCACGCAGTGGCTTCTGTTGCTGGTAGGCCTGTTCCCCTAGTCAGCAGAGAGGCAAAGCTTGGCATTTTCCTTGGTATCTTTTGCTTTCTCCCACCCTCCCAGTTAGCCAGGTTGGCAACCCCAGCACCACCTCCGGATCTTCTCGCTCATTCAGCCGCTTGCCGAGGATGGTGGCCTTCACCGTGGCTCCCAGCTTCTCTTCATCCCAAGGCTCCAGGCCCTCACCACTTGACTGTCCCAATAGCCTCCTCATTGCTTTCTTTGCCTCAAAGCTTGGCCCCTCTCCCACTCACTCTCTACATGCAGTAGCTGCTGGGGTGATCTTCTAACACCCAGGGGTGACCTTGTCCCTCCCTTGCTCAAGAACTCCATCGGGACCCTCTTGCTTCCGGAACCCAGTGCGAAGTCTTGTTTGGCCTCAAAGCCAGCATTGTTATTCTCTGCACAGCCCCTCTGCTGTGCCTGGCATGCCCTCCCTCCTCACTTCAGTCCCCTCAGGGCTTGCCAGGAGGCCTCGCCTGCTTTCAGGCAGGCTCAGTGGTCGGTGTTCCCCCAGCCCCCAGTGGCTCCACACACACTTCATGTGCTCGCCCGGGAAGAAGCTTTCTCCCAGTGAGATAAGTTCCTGTTTCACATGTGGTTCTGCATCTCGTGTGCCTAGTTTAGTGCCTGATAGCCTTTTACATGTGGATGGACATGTGCTTCTTCAGATTGAGGAGACCCCAGACTTCAGGGAAGAATGGAGGAGCCAGACGTCCTTCGGGATCCCTGGCTGCAAGTTTGGTCAGCTCCAGAAAGGGGAGCAGCACCACTGAATTCCATCCATCTAGCATTCGTCACCATGCTTCCCACTATATGCTGGGGTTTAGGTCAGGCCCGCAGAATAAAATGCCCAAACCAAACCAGGCCCTACCCTCAGAGAGATTCCTTCTACCCTTGGAGTAGATCAAGAAGGCATGGAAGGCTGTTGGTGGGCATCTGTGCCTCTCTTCCTATCTCTCTTCTCTTTCCCCTCTTCAGTGTTCTGGGCTCCCTACCAGAAGAGAGCTTTTGGGCAGCTCTGGGCCTCCCCAACTTGGTTCTTTTCTGGTCCATGTACTACCTCCCAAGCTTAAAGGCTGCCCTCTCCATGCCCTGGCTTGCCCTGAGGGAATGGGAGACAGTGGTTGAGACAGGGAGGAGAGAAGCCTTAGTCCAGTCTGATAGCACCCTCATGCCAGGAAGGGGAGAGGACAGGCAGAAATAGGCCAAGGGCCTGGGAGCCAAGTACAACCTCCCCAGGCATCCCAGCAGCTCCCTTCAGTGATCTGTTTCTTTCCTGAGAAGCCACTGAAATTCAAGAAATCAGGAGGTGCAGGAGAGCAGAGCCCCCTCCGAGAGGGAGGCTATGAAATAATCTAATTATCTTCCTGATAAAATTTTGTTCTTCCCCATCAAAGTGCTGCTAGGCTGCTGGGAAGGGGGGCTTCTCCAAGTTTCACTGAATCCCACTGTACTACAGTTAATTATAGAAGGGTTCCACTGTAATTAACGGTAATGAACAGGAAAAGATGTGCCTTGTGTTCCAATAACATGCTGCAAGGATCATGTTTAGAAAACATCAGATTTGAACACAAAGCAGACAGACTCTTCCCTCCGCCAGCCCTTTGGTGAAGAGTACCAGCCCCTCCCTTTCCTGGGCCTCAGTCTCCTCCTTTTGGGTGCCAAGAACTATAGATTTCTGCCTTTATTTTGGCTTCATTAGCCCTAAGGCCCTTAAGATTCTGATGCAACGAAGAGAATACTGAGAAGGAAGTGTTGCTTGTGTGCAGCTGGGCGGGCGGAGGTGGGGGATAGACAGGGGAGAGGATAGGTGGGAGACTGCATTTGGTCCTGCTGCTTGTATGTGAAGATTTATACCCACTGAATTACTCTGTCTGTCCACACATCCATCTCCCCATCTCTCTTTCTGTCTATTGGTTGGGCCCCTGGGTCTGGTAGCTGCTCTGTTGATTCGCAGATAGCCTGGCCACATCACCTTTTGTTTGTTTTTAACACCAAGTGCTAGGGCACTTGTACTTTCCCAAGCTTGGTCTAGACTGGTGACCATGGTGAAGAGATAAAGGCTGACATGAAAGGCCCTGTTCACTGACCTGGCCACCAGATTTCTCTCTTGGGCTCTTCCTCAACCCACTGGGGCTCTGAGAAAGGTTGTCTTCAGTGGTCAGAAAGCTCCAAGGAAGTTACCAACTGCAGGAAGGCAAGCTGGGCCAGGCTAGGCCCAAGCTGTATCTCCCAGGGGAGGAGGAAGAGAAGCTAGAGCTCCCACCTCCATGTTTGCCTTGGTAGCACCCCTGAGGTGGCAGCAATCACAGATGTGTCTGTCCTCTGCTCTGCCAGCCCTTCAAGATGGGAAGTGATTTCCCTGGTAGGCACTGAGAAGGAAGTTGTGTGGGGAGCATGGAGCATCCTATGTGCTGGCCATTGTGCTGAACCCTGGGGACCCAAATACAAGCGAAAATACAGCCCCTGCCCTTAAGGACCCAAAGGTACCCAAAGGGGAGCTGAAAAGGGGAATAGGAGGGGAAGGTACCCTTAGAGCTCAGTGCCAGGTCCAAGAAGTCAGAAGAAGAGGCAAGAGGGGAACGAAGGTTGGCCAGCCTTGGCCGCTCCCCAGGAGGAGCTGACCAGTGAGAGAAGGGGGCTGGGATGGCGGACAGCTGGAATTCTAGGCTAATGGCAGCTAAGGCATGGGAGCCAAGTCCAGACAGGAGCTAGAGGAGAGGACCTTGTCTGGCCTCTGCTGGGGCCTATTCCATGAGGCCCAACTGAGCCTGCTTAGGCCTTATTCAGCTGGGTGAGAGACTCAGCAGAGAGAGAGGGTTCTGTGCATGCAGTGGCCTTAAGTTCCAGCCTGGCCTTGTCCACAATGGGCCTCTTAGACAATGGGGTATAAGGAAGCTTTCAACTGGCAGAGTTCAAATCCCATTTCTTCCCATTACCACCTGGGTGCCTAAAGATCCCTTCTCCTTTCTGGGCCTTTGTCTCC